GCTGCATTTTGGATTTGTGCTGAACACGGGGTTGATAAAATAGAGATGTTTTTGTTACTGGTGACCAGGACTTGCACAGAGCCGAGGCTGTTCCTGCCCTGTACAGCCATGCTGGGGAGGGGGCTGAGGGTGTGTGGGAGGTTGGGAGGGGACACGGCCAGGACAGGTGACCCCAGCTGGCCCAGGGCTATTCCAGTCCATATGATATCATACTTAGTATATAAAGTGGGGGAAGAAGGAGGAAGGGGGGACATTTGGGGTGATGACATTTGTTTTCCCAAGTCACAGTTAAATGTGGTAGGGCCCTGTTCTCCTGGAGGTGGCTGAACACCTGCCTGCCCATGGAAGCAGGGATTTAGTTTGTTTTGCTTTGTTTGTGTGTGCAGCTTTTGCCTTCCCTGTGAAGTTGTCTGTCTCAGCTCATGAGTTCTGCAGCGTTTGTGCTTCCAGTTCTGTCCCCGATCCCGCTGCGAGGGTCTTGGCTGCTGGATGGGGCTGCATCACCACATGGGGCCTGCTTTTTTGTGTTTAAATCTGCTCGCTGCAGCTGTTCTGCGTGCTCTCTCTACCTGTACAGAGCACATGGGCTCTGCATTAGCCAGATAATGAACTCTGCACATCCTGAGATTACGTGCAGCTGAAATAGGCTTCTGGTGTCCAGCAGCAAGGGCACAGATGGGGCTTAATACCTCAGCTCCTGGAGAGCTCGTGCTCTTCCTGTCTGCAGCCTGTGCCCCAGGGCTGCAGCTCTGCCAACAGCCATGAGAGCTCTCCTGCTTCTCCCGGGGCTTTCTCTGCCTGAGCAGGAGCAGGAGCAGCAGGAGCCTGCCACGGGCACGGGTGGCAGTGTCCCTCGGTGTGTGAGGGCTGGCTCCTGCCCGACCCAGGGGGTCCGTGGGCAGCAGAAGGGTGCCCGTGGGCAGCAGAAGGGTGCCCGTGCAGTGAAGCTGCCCTCAGCAGGGCGGGAGGCTCCCTGGTGCCAGAGCTGTTCCGCAGGAGCCTGCTGTGCCCTTCATTGGCCGTGTCCTCCTGGCCTGTCACTGCCCGGGTGGCTCTGGCAGGGAGAGCTGGGCAGGTGGCAATGGAGCTCTTCCCACTAAGCTGATGGATTTCTGAAGGAGTGGATGCCTTCACCGATGTACCAGTTCCTGTTTCACCTGCAGCAGTCTCTGCTAGTGCAGGATCAGCCAGCCTGAGTTTCTTTATGAAGTACATTTCCTGTGTGCTTTCTGCACCCGAAGAAATGAGTTGTAGCAAATTACTAGTTCGACTTCCCTTGTGAGCGATGACTTGCTCTGTTATGATGCACGCCAGTAACCTGAGCCATTTACTCATGTGGAAAACAGTCCTTTCCAAAGGCAGAAACCCTGAGTGCAGGATTTTTCATAGGGATGCTTGGATTATAGAATCTGAGAGCTCCAGTGTTGGAGAACACAGCTGCCAGCCTGCTCAAGTCAGCTGGACTGTGGTGCCTTGAGAGCTGGAGACAGTTCCAAAACCTCGTGCAGTGGGCCAGAGATGGGGATCCCAGCTGCCACCCTTTCCTTCCTCCTGCAGAGGAAGGCGTGGGAAGGAAGGACTTCACCAGCTGGCTGCTAGCAGCAGCCTCTCTGCATTTCCCCCAAGGAGAGATGGCTGGAGAAACACTGATTTGGTGATGCTCAATTACAGCCTGCTGTTAATTGCTTTATGATTAGAAAATAATCCTCAGAATCAGCTGCTTGGGCTCACTTGGGGTGCTGCAGCCTCCAAAGATAAATTGTCTTCTGCACTCTACTGCTGCTGCTCAATCTGGATTTATGAATGGCTTTATTTGATCCAAAACTTCATTTTTTTAATTATGAACAAGCACTTGGCTTCAGGGGAGCTGCCTTGCCTCTCCTTTGGACACCCAGCGTAGCACCCAGGATGTCCTGAGTCAGCCCACAGGTGTTGTGTTAGTTACACATGGGCCAAGGCAGCAGCATCACCTGCTGCTCCGTGCTGGAAGTGGGTTTTTAAACATAAATTCCTGAAGCTTTCCAGGGATGAAGTGAGAGCATACAAGGGGCAGTCACTGTGGCTCCTCTTGGACACATGAGAACTCCTGTGTGTGCACAGGCACCAGGGCTCTGTCTTGGAGTGACCAACCCCTTGGGTCTGGCTGCAGGGCTGTGCAGGCACAGTGCCCAGCCAGGCTGCAGGGCTGTGCAGGTGCCCAGCCAGGCTGCAGAGCTGTGCAGGCACAGTGCCCAGCCAGGCTGCAGGGCTGTGCAGGCACAGGTGCCCAGCCAGGCTGCAGGGCTGTGCAGGTGCCCAGCCAGGCTGCAGGGCTGTGCAGGCACAGTGCCCAGCCAGGCTGCAGGGCTGTGCAGGTGCCCAGCCAGGCTGCAGGGCTGTGCAGGCACAGTGCCCAGCCAGGCTGCAGGGCTGTGCAGGTGCCCAGCCAGGCTGCAGGGCTGTGCAGGCACAGGTGCCCAGCCAGGCTGCAGGGCTGTGCAGGTGCCCAGCCAGGCTGCAGAGCTGTGCAGGCACAGTGCCCAGCCAGGCTGCAGAGCTGTGCAGGCACAGGTGCCCAGCCAGGCTGCAGGGCTGTGCAGGCACAGTGCCCAGCCAGGCTGCAGGGCTGTGCAGGCACAGTGCCCAGCCAGGCTGCAGAGCTGTGCAGGTGCCCAGCCAGGCTGCAGGGCTGTGCAGGCACAGTGCCCAGCCAGGCTGCAGAGCTGTGCAGGCACAGGTGCCCAGCCAGGCTGCAGGGCTGTGCAGGTGCCCAGCCAGGCTGCAGAGCTGTGCAGGCACAGGTGCCCACCCAGGCACAGGGACGGAGCTGCATGCCGAGGTTCCAGCCAAGGAGCATCCGGCTGTTTTAAAGCTGCTTGCTCTGCTCCCATAGGACAGAATCCCTGATACTTGCCCTCAGGTAGTTCCTGGAGCTGATGTTTGGCCCCTGTCCCCATGGAGGAGCCCCATCTGCCCTGGCCGTGCCAGGACCCTTCCCTGGGACCTGTTTGGCATCGTACTCGTGGTGTGATTCTTTCTTCCTCCCAGTGAGGAATCCCAAAGAATCCAGCCACCCGAGGGCTTGCTGTTACCTCCTCAGCCAGGAAATGCATTTTTTCCTGTTTAGACAAGATCTTTTCACTCTGTAATGTCTCTAAAGTGTCAGTGCTTTCAAAGCCACTTGAGGGATATTGTTCCAGGTCCCTGGGCCTCAGGAAGGTTTCCCTAGGTGTAAGGTGATAAACCTGCAAGTGAGATTGTTGTGTGTTCTTGAAAGTCTGTCTGTTCATCAGAAGACAAATAGTTTCTCCTGCAAGATTAGGTATGAACTTATACTCTGTTGGCTGCCGGTAATAGCACCCTGGGGTGAGACCTCCCAGTTTCTGCCAAATACTGAAAGAGTGTGTGAAACCTGATTGCAGCCCTTCTCTGGAATACAGCTTTTGGGACAGATGTTCCTGGGTACTGAACCAGCTCTTTGCATTCTGCATTGTGTGGGCGATGCTGAGGATCATTCTGGATGCTGAGTCTGAGTGAATCCGTGTCACTTTGGGTCCCCTGCCTGCAGCAGCAGTGCTGCTGCCATGTCAGCAGCTTTGGAGATGCGATCCTCTTCCTGTGTTTGCTGTTCTTGGTTCGTTGTGCTCTGTAAGTCACAAACCTCAGCTGGGGGTGGTGTGAAGGTTTCTGATCTGCTCTTCTGTGTTGTTAGTGTTGTGTGTCAGGAGCACAGATCCAAGCCGGTGTCTCCTGCACTTCCAACTCAGCTGGCATGGCACAGACTTAGGGCTGGTCATATTCTTGTGCTGCTGGAGCTGCATTGCCCTGGGAACGAGGTGCAGTGATGCTCCTGCAGCTGGTCAGAGTGAGTGGAGCTGTCCGTGCCATTCTGTCCCTTGGTTCTGTATCACCGAGTTGTTCCGTGTGTCTTCTGGCTTCTTCACTTGAAGGCAAGTGGATTTTCCCCTTGAACTCTTCCAGGGCTTCCACACTGCAGCCTGGCTGGAGCACTGCAGCTGGGCACTGCAGCTGGAGCACTGCAGCAGGCACCGCAGCTGGGCACTGCAGCTGGAGCACTGCAGCCTGGCTGGAGCACTGCAGCTGGGCACTGCAGCTGGAGCACTGCAGCAGGCACCGCAGCTGGGCACTGCAGCCTGGCACTGCAGCCTGGCACTGCAGCTGGAGCACTGCAGCTGGGCACTGCAGCTGGAGCACTGCAGCCTGGCTGGAGCACTGCAGCAGGCACTGCAGCTGGGCACTGCAGCTGGAGCACTGCAGATGGGCACTGCAGCAGGCACCACAGCCTGGCACTGCAGCCTGGCACTGCAGCTGGGTTACTGCAGCCGGGCACTGCAGCTGGTGCACTGCAGCTGGGCAGCACAGGCAGGCACTGTGACAGGGCACTGCAGCCGGGCACTGCAGCCGGGCACTGCAGCTGGGCAGCACAGGCAGGCACTGTGACAGGGCACTGCAGCCTGGCACTGCAGCCTGGCACTGCAGCCTGACACTGCAGCCGGGCACTGCAGCTGAGCAGCACAGGCAGGCACTGTGACAGGGCACTGCAGCTGGGTTACTGCAGCTGGGCACTGCAGCCACAGTCAGCAGCTTGAGCTCTTGCAGGTACTTAGAAAAGCTTCTGTGCGGCTGCTCTCAAGGGGAGAATAATCCTATTTGGTAGATTGTGTTCGCAGAGTGGAGGCAGATGTTCTTCACGTGGCACGCTCCGTGGGGACCTGTGGTGGATTAACCTACAGTAACCCCCCCCAACAGGGACTCCAGAGTCTTTGAGCCAGACCAGAGGTTTATTATCATCACTGAAATTCGTATCGTGTGGGTCTGGGGAAAATGCCGCTCTTCCTTTGGGTTTGTTAGCCTGACAGCTTTCTCCCGGGCTGCAGCCGCTGCTGGCCGTGCCCGCCGGGCCGGCTGGGAGCAGCAGGATTCCTGGCTATATTTAGGGGGAGGCCGCAGCGAGTGCCGTGCCGCTGTGCCACAGTAACTCCCTCTCTGCTCTCTCCAAGGTAACAGAAGACGAGCACAGCTGTTCTCCTAGCGGGTCACCGAGTCGGGGACGGCGGCAGGACGAGCTCCGGGCACGGGGGACAGGGACGCGGAGCTGGGAGCCTCTTCTGGCGTGGGGCAGGGCAGGCCTGAGCATATCTTACCCTGGAATGAGAATTGCACCGGTCGGACGGCAATGAGCTAGGAGAACAGCAAAAACCGCAACTCGGAATGTATTTATTACTTAAAAGTTAGCTATTCTTGATAAAATTCCCCAGATTATTGCTGCTGCTTATTTTACTTACAGATTTCACACACTCGTTAATTTTAAAGCTACCGAACTTTTATTCAATACTGTACCCTGAGGAATGTAATTGGGTCAGGACATGCAGTAGAATGAAATCATTGTAGTGTCTTAAGTACAATGGACTCACTTTGTGTCTATTAAACCTTGGAAGATGTGCAACACACAGCAGTGTGGCTCTCATTGCGTGTTAAAGCTCTCTCGTGTCGTTTACTGCAGAGCAGGGGAATCGGTGGTTCCAGGTACACGAACAAGCAGTGCTGGGGACTTGGATGTCCTTGGGTCCTACCCCTGTGCTTTCCCAAATCCCCTGGAGGGGCAGCACAGCACAGCCTGGGCCTGCCCTTGCTGCATGCACGGGGTTCATGCTCTGGCCAGGGAGGGAATCCGTGTTCTGAGCTGAACATGAACGTGCACATGAGTGTGAAGTTGTATGTTCACACTCTGTGAGTGGGATTGAAGGCCCTCTGAACACGTTGAACAGAAGGGTCCTCTCCTTACCCACGACCAAGAGGTGATGCATGATTCTGAGCCAGCAACCAAACAGCTTTTTTTGCCAAATTCAAATGTTTTACAAACTGAAGTGACATGGACAGGATTTTGGAACTGTAACAGTTAATTTTTTGGGTTTGTGTTAGTCTACCCTTTCCTTGGATTCCCTCAGTCCAGAGACATTAATTTGAGGTGGTCTGTTGCTTCTGGTGCTGGAGAAAGCAGTTGAGAGTGTCCCTGCTCAGGACAGTGCTGTCTGGCTGTGGAAGCTGCAGGATCCCTGCACTGATCCTGTTCCTGTCAGCTGGACCTGCTGCAGCAAACACGGGATGAACTCTCGCTGAGTTGGGGCGAGCAGGTCGGAAATCACACAGGCTCGTGTTTTCCTGCTTTGTGCTGCTTCACACTGTGGTCTCTGAATGTCAGCAAGAGAGCTCAGAGCTTCCCCTTTCAGCAGCAGTGTCACAAGGAGAGCTCAGCACCAAACCCCTTCTGCTGAGCCTCAGAAATGTGCACCAGAGCAGCGGGGAGGCTGTGGTGTACAACAGGAGGTGTTGAACCGGGACAGCTCTTTCCCAAGGCCCGTTTCGGTCACCTCTGCAAACAAATCAATGAGCCTTCCTGGCTTCCAGAAATAAGCGCAAGAAGGACAGCAGTATGTATCGGGAGGTGTGTTCCTGCCCCTTGTGTGAAGCCTTTGTGCAGCGGTGTTTACCCAGGCTGGCAGAGGTGCTCCTGTGCTGGGAGTGCTCCTGCTCCAGGAGGAACAGCCTTGCCTTTCTCAGCTCCTGCCTGTCTGGCCTCAGGGGCTCTTTGTGAGGTTTTTGCTAGCATCTTCTTGAGCTGGGGCTGGCCTGATGGCTGTGAGGTGGTTTTTGTGTTTTCTGCTCACACTGTACAAAATTCCTGCCCGAAAGTGCTGCCAAGCGTTTGGCTGTAGCATTACAGCACTGAGCTGCAGGGAGGTACAAGCAGCCTTCTGTTCACTTAAAAAATAGTTTTAAAAGGCAAACAAGAATAACCAGGACCCTACTCCTCACTAATCCCAGGAAAAGCACTTGTCTGCTCCCATCTCCAGTGAAGGGCTGCTCCATCACACGTGTGGAAAGGCTGCTCCAAGGCTGAAGGAGATGCCAAGGACAGCAGGTGAGTGCTGGCCACGTTCCTGAGCAGGCAGCCCGTGGCACTTGGGTGCCATGAGCAGGCAGGAGCATTCCTCAGACCTGCTGTTCAGTCTCTGCTGGGTGTGAGGGAGCCGGGTGATGCCTCTCACGTGGGGCCACTGATTTTCTCTGGGCTTGGCTCATGGGATGGCTTGGGAGGGTTTGCTCAGGGCCAGTGTCCATCCTGTAATCTGGGGTGGTCCCCAGGGGGGAGTTGTCCAGGGGATGTCCAGCTTTTGCCCACCGTGTCTGCAGTAAAGCCCCTGGTGCAGATCAGCCCTGCCAGCTGTGTCACAGCACGGTGGGAGCTGCTGGCCTTGCCCCGTGCCCCGTGGGTGGGCACAGATTGGCACTGCTGGGAGCTGCTGGCCTTGCCCTCTGCCCAATGGATGGGCACAGATTGGCACTGGCGGGAGCTGCTGGCCTTGCTCCGTGCCCCGTGCATGGGCACAGATTGGCACTGGTGGGAGCTGCTGGCCTTGCCCTCTGCCCAATGGATGGGCACAGATTGGCACTGGTGGGAGCTGCTGGCCTTGCCCTCTGCCCAATGGATGGGCACAGATTGGCACTGGTGGGAGCTGCTGGCCTTGCCCCGTGCCCCGTGGGTGGGCACAGATTGGCACTGCCAGCTCCTGCCCTCCAGCAGGGCTCTGCTCCTGGGGGCTGAGGGGGACTGAGTGCCTGTGTCTGTGCCAGAAACCTCCCCTGCCGTCCCCTGCAGGCTGCTGTGGCCAGGCAGGGCCCCCTCCCGCTGTCCCTGCACCTGGGTGTGTGACATTCCTGACATTGCTGTGCCCTGTGGAGAGCAAACAATGGGCTGTTCCTGCCCTGGGCCCTGCTGCTGAGAGCTGAGGGCAATGCCAGTGCCAGCAGGCGGGGGCTGCCAGAGCTGCTTTGCTGCCCTTTGTGCCAGGGCTGGGCAGGGACCCTCCTCCAGAGAGCCCTGAAAATTGGTGTCCAGGTCTCCTTGTTTTCTGTGTCCCTTGTGATGCCCATTGGTCTGACAGCTGTCTGTCTGTCTGTCCTCACACCAGCTTAAAGAATATAAAAGAGGAGTGACATTTCCGTGCTGCAGGTGAGTCACTGGATTTTTGACACTTTACTAAGATCTGCCACAGACAGTTCCAGTACAAACATGGTAACAGAAAATGGTGCTTGGGAGGCAGGGGGATGCAGGGACACTGATCCTGCTGGGACTCAGCAGCTCGGTGCCACGGGTGGGTTAAACCCCAGCCTCACACAGCACCGAAGCACAGCCCGGCTGTGTGGGGGCTGCCAGAGCTGCCCCGCTGCTCCTCGGTGGAAAGATGACTCAGGTGTTGGCAAGGCTGAAAGGATGAATCTCGTTGCAAATTGCTTCTTTGTCTTGGCCATTGTGCAGATAAATGAAAATAATTTCTCAGCAAGTGCAAATACATAAGCCAAGAGTACAGTGGAGGTTCATTTCTTAACTGGATTAAAAAACCTAGTGTGGAAGATTCTAAATATCACTTTTAATAATGTGAGGTTGGAATGGCTTAATTCAGTCTTTGACTGTGACAGAGTAAAAGCTGGATTGGGTTAAAAACCCGAGTGTAACACTGAGGAATAGCGAGTGGTCTGCAGCATTCTCTGTGCTTGCCATCGGTGCCACCCCCTGCCACGGGCAGGGACACTTGTCTGGAGCAGGTTGCTGCAAGTCCCATCCAGCTTGGCCTGGAACACGTCCAGGGCTGGGGCAGCACAGTTTCCCTGGGCAGCCTGTGCCAGGGCCTCACCTCCCTGCCAGGGCAGAATTTCAGTGTCCCCTCTGGCCCTGCCCTCTGTCAGTACGAAGCCATTGCCCCTTGTCTGTCCCTCCAGGCCCTTGTCCAAAGTCCCTCGCCATTATTCAAACCTAGCAGGATTTTTCATAATGAGGCTTTTTGCTAATATTCTAAATCCATAGATTAAATTTTGGAGTTGTGGTGGGCAAACCATCGTAGCACCTGCTTGTCTTAACCTGTGATGTTTCCCTAAATCTTCTCTTGCCTCTCTCCCAGCTTCAGGATTTCTGTTCTCCGTTCCCTCTTCGGGCACTTCCCAGGGATCCTGGGAAGCAGTTTTGCATTGATCTGTCCTGCTCACCTGGCTGTAGCCTCACTGCAGTAATCCTTCCTGAGGCTGAAGCGTAACTTCATGAGGAAATGGAGCTTTAAATGTGAAAATAGCTTTCTCCTGGCAAACGAGAAACCTGCTCTTCTGGAATGTGGGAATTTTCTTATTTTACTAGGTCTTCAAATTATATACTGTCTGTTTTTTTATTCTTCCTGTAGCAGAGGGCTTCCAAGCAGCCTCGGTGTGTTTTTCTCTGTGTCTCAGGATTTATGGCTCTGCTGTCAGGCCAGGGATCGACCTCAAGCAGCAGCAGCCGGGTGGGAGCCCTGCCCCACACCTTTCTCCGAGCCAGGTGCTGGCCATGGCTTGACCATGCCTGTGGTGCCCTGGCTCCCTCGTGCCAGCCTGTCCGTCCCTGCCTGGTCCTGCCAGGGAGCCCTGGCACAGCCTCCCAGCACAGAGTCCGTGGCTCTGTGCTGAACCTGGGCTCTGGCTGCCCAGGAGGGACGGCCTGCACACAGGGAATGTGTCCCCGAGCATGGCAGGGAATTGGGCACGGCTGCCCACCTCTCCAGGGCGGCTCGGGCAGGCACCATTAAAGGGCAGCTTGCTTTAATCCACTCAAACATCTGTCGTCCATGGAAAATATTTCCTTTCTCCTAAACCCTTCTTTTCTAAAGCGCATCTCATAAAACACAAAGTTGGGCAAGTTGTTTTTAAAGCAGATTTCTGAGGGAAAGCACATAAACTGCGAGCTGGTTTGCATTAGACACCAAGACGCGGAGCATTTGGCTTTGATAAGCGAGGCCCCCGTGGCTGGAGGCAGAAGGGGCTGCAGCAGGAGTGCTGAGGGCAGCTGAGCTGGCTCCGGGCAGGGAGGGGCTGCTTTTCCTTGGCGAGTCCTTGGTGCCGCTGAAGGCCACCTGCAGCGGGTGGAGGTGGCACAAAGGGGACAAAGGCCCGCTCCCGAGGGGTGAGGGGTCCGGGCTGGGCAGGAGGGGGCACGGCCGTGCCAGGGCTCAGCCAGAGAG